GACAAGTTTGGCTTATTAAAATCAATTGTACTTCTGAACCTTATCTTCTGGCAAATTACATTCCCTCGCCACCAAAGCAATCTCAATCCCCAAGAAGCTCAGACAGGTGGACAGACACACCGTCTTGTCCGGAGCAAGCGGGACCCCAAAGAACTGAGAGACCAATTCCAGAGTTCAGAGAAGGTGTGAACACACATTCGAACCAGAAGGACCAACACTCCAAAAGTTATAGAAATAATGCAGCAGTGAGTTACACGCTGCCTCATCCCGCACCACCCATTCCAGGAATGTGCTAAAACATTCGAAATAGAAGCAGGAAATTGAACAATCCATGGGCAAACACAGGTCCACGTAGTAACGTCCTTGAAAGAAACAACCCAATAGGTGATGAGATTCCGGGAGGACTGGAAGGAGCTGAAAGGCAGCCTGTATTTCCGTGTTGGGAATAATACACTTTGCCTATACTGACCCAAGGCTCAAGATTCAGATGTCAGGATGTTCAGTCTATTTAAAATTGGCTAACTTGAAACATGTCAGCTATTTGAAATAATAAACTTGATCAATATCCAATGCTTAGTGAATATACCCCTAGACAATTAAGTACTGTAGAACATCATGTAACAAGTAACAGGTGTTATTTCCTGTGTGTTTCTATCTGTCGGCCTTATTTCCTGTTTTTCTCCCTTTGATCATAAACTGCATAGTAATGTGCAATTTAGAACTTTAGAATGTTAAAGATAAGATAGATGATTTTCTTAGGATTGCATAATGCTTGTAAGACCACCCCCATTTCCTCTTTAACATAACCTGTTAGACAGCTCATTAAAACGCTCAGAAGTCACTTTGAACCTTACTTTCTATTATCTCATTCATTGGGGCTTCTAAAAGCCATATGGTTTGGGGACAAGGAAAAATACAGAGAGCAGCAAATTGATACAAAAGGCAAGGGAAAAGGTCTGACAGAGAAAATTCCTCACTATCCATCCGCCCTCACCAAAAGCGCTCCTGGGCCAGACACCCGAACCTTCCAAACCGCCATGTCAAAGGACGCGTACAACACCCAAAACCTCTCCTCATCAATATCACTATTCACCATACCCCCGAAAGGGTAGGACAAATGGTGAATCAGCTGAAGCTTATCCAGCTCCTTCTTAGGTACCACCCCCAATGGGGAAACACAGAGGCTAGGGAGTGGTGGGGGCCACGTACAGGCCAGCCATCCGCCCGAGAGACAGCTCTTTATTGAGCTTGTCAGCCACCACCTCATTGTGATCCTGAACCGACTTGAGGTTCCGACAAACCCCAGGAGAATCCCTCACCAGATGGGGATTCCAGAAGCCATCACGGAAACCCCTAAGGAGCAGCTCTGTTGCCCTGCGGTTCCTATAACGGCTTAGCCACGGGATCATTGCACCAACATCAACTAGTGTTCTTGCCTTTCAAGACCAAGGAATCCCCGTGCTCACCGGATTTACCCACTTAAAACAGCGGGAGGCTGAGTGAGAACTCCCACACCCGGAGCATTCATGTTTGAACTTGTAACTGGTGCCCCATTTACACTGACTTTCATTGTATTGCCTGTAACAACCAGTGCGCCTGGACAAGGCCACCACGCCACCCCTCCCCCCTACCTCCCAGAGAAAGGACGACAGACCACCCTAATGTGATGCCGGGCAAGTTATAATCGCCAGCCACAAACCAATATCCATTTCAACCAACAGACTGGCAAAGCGCCATCTCCTGGCAAAACTGCTCATCATAGTGCCACCAGCTCAACCCCCCATATACCCGATATGAAGTCCATATGGTATCCCGGGCACAGGAGATTCAGGGACCACAGGTGCTGAGGCTAATGAAGACCACCCAGAATGGGCACCACCAGCCCCCCAGAAGTAGTAACCGGAGAATGGTCCAACCCCGCCCTAACCTGCGCGTCCAAAGAAGGGGTCACTTAATTCAGTTCCCAGTTAACCAAAAACCCCCTCAGACAACCCACCAGTGAACCCCAGGCATCAGCAATGCCCAGGCTACCCCCACACTCCGTACGACCCTCCAGCAATGCAAAACCAGACTAACCGGAGGGCGCGGGAGTCAATTGGAGTAGCGGAGCCATAACCATCGGAGGCTGGGTTGGAGCTGCCACTTCCAATAGGAGTGATACCGGCTTAGCATGTAATGAGACCTGGAACATGGGAAGAAATAACAGGTGAAATCATATCCCTCCCCCCTGACCCACACAGGAAGGCAAGGGGTGCCTGGTAGGTCCAGACAGCACCCCGAGGGAGGGCAGGGGGCTAGTGGAGATAGCAATTGAAGGGGTAGGAGACATCCGCCTTACACTACTCCCAGCATCAAAGTAAAAGTAAATGCAATAAAACAAGCAACAGCCTGAATTAGCTCCCCCCACAGTCCCCTTATACAGGGCTATTCCCTCTTGCCATTGGTGGTAACTGGGAGTTGTTCTC